CACTCTTAGCCCTCAGCTCACGTCCAGCCATTAGGCGCACTGGCCATAACCGTCATCTGTTCTCGCTGTACGGGTGTGGCTAGCCTCTCTCTTTTTTTCTCAGCTTTCCCTTTATTTGTATTTGTAATTGTTATGGTTTTCCCATTGATTGTGTGCACCGGACACTGAAATTGTAATTAGTTGAAATTTATGCGAATTGAGCCGGGCGCTCGTATGGGTTGACCCGCTTCCGTTTTTGGCTTCGATCACGTACGCGTTTTGGCCATTATTATTTGTGCCTTGGCTTTACATTTCTATCCCCCCCTCTTATTTTTTTTTCAATAAAAATGAATTCAATGAATTTTCCAGGGCAAATCCGCTTATGGCATTAGCCAGCCATAACTTTTGCTTTGGATGGTCAGCAAATAATTTGTTAATGCCCCCCTCGCGTATCATAAATATCAATCGTATTCGCTTCTGGCTTAGCGACAAATTAATTATATGCAAAGCAATGCTGCCTGCAACTAACAGCAGAACGATGGCAACTCTGGCAGCTACTGGCCACAGGCGCGCTGCATCATCATAAAGTTACAGACACGCGAAAAGTTTGCTAATTAGATATATATGCAATTAAGTAGTTTACCGACAGCGTGTCATTCGATATTTTGTACTTGGCTGGTCATGACAACCCTGTCACGGCGATGCTTTGATGCACCCAAGCAACCGGAAAATTGTGCCGAGTCCTTGCCAGCGTCAGGCATCATTCAATGCAGAGAGACTGCACAAAATTACGCGCTTGGATAATTTACTTATAAAACATTTATAATTAGGCAATGTTTCTGACACGCTTCGAACGCTGGACAAGTGATTGGCAGAAGCTGCGGAAACTTAAGATCACGGCTTAAAAATAACGAAAAAAAAAGGAATAACTAATATTGCTTTGCAAAAGTACATTGCGAAAGAATATATTTAATCCGCAAAGTTGTACAGGCTGCGGTGTAAAACGTTCTTAAGAGAAATAAGGAAACATCAAATATTGTAAAAAGCAATACATATAAAACTAAATAAATATAAAATTAAATTAAATGTTAAAAGTATGCTCAAAACTTTAGCAATATTAGCATTTGATTCCCACGCGACAGAGAGAGAGAGAGAGTAATCCAGTTCTATTAGCGCAATAGGCTTTACTTAATTTCCCTTTGAAACCACCAATTTACATTATTAAGGGTTGGTCCTATTTAAGCGTTGACATTATCCACGAAATTCTCCCAGTGCAGGAAAAACATTTACTTTGAACGGCACAAGGTAAAAGGAAAAACGAATTTCCTCTCGGTCCGGACTTGGGCAAAAAATTAACGCACTCACAGAGCCAGCGGAAAAAAATGGTCGCAAGAAAAGCAGAGCTAAGCAAAATGCAGAAAAAAACTTTGCCTTTGATTTAGTTTTTTTTTTGTGCTGCCCTTATGACATTTATTGCATCACACCCATAGGACGTCTATCACTGGTGCAGCACATTTGTCGACTTGCCTTATCCTGTTGGCAGTCTTTTCAGCGCCCACAGTCCTTTGCCGAGCTGACAGGCTGAGCTGTCCAATGGGCGTGTGACTGACTGAGACCTGAGACAGGCAAAGGGGACTTATCAAAGGGCTGCTAACTGCCAGCTGCAAGCTGAGAGCTGCGGAAAAATGTCTTTTAATTAGTATTTAATTGAATCGCCAACTGGAATTTTAATCGAAAATTGCAGCTCACTAAAGTTGAGTTTGACTTTTCCGCACAGTTTGCATTGTATCTCGAGCCAAATTGCTTGTTTGCTTTACAAACTCAACTGGCTATTGATAGCTACAGAACTACTTCCTAAGTAGAGGCTTTTGTCACGCTCAAGAGGATTAATTAAATATTGTGCATTTAAGTGCGGTAATCGCTCAATCGATTCAAACCTATCCGATGCAAATCAATGAAAGCAATTGTAAATAAACACACAATTTGAAACACGTTTATTGAGCGTAGAAATAGAAAATCGAGAAGAAACAATAACCAGTGCCAAGAGTAAAGCAAATTTAAACATTGAGTTTCAGAGAGTTAGATAAGAAACTAAGTAATATTCTGAATAATAAAAATAATAATTTAAATTTATACAATTACATTTATATTTTAATTCAATAAATATTCAGGGATAGACAAGTAACTAAATAGTATTATGGATAATGATAATGATAATGATAATGATAATGATAATGATAATGATAATGATAATGATAATGATAATGATAATGATAATGATAATGATAATGATAATGATAATGATAATGATAATGATAATGATAATGATAATGATAATGATAATGATAATGATAATGATAATGATAATGATAATGATAATGATAATGATAATGATAATGATAATGATAATGATAATGATAATGATAATGATAATGATAATGATAATGATAATGATAATGATAATGATAATGATAATGATAATGATAATGATAATGATAACGATAATGATAATGATTATTGAATAAATTAAGTTTGAACCCGTATTTGCAGTTTTCAATGGCCAGGAGGAGTTTTATAAAGTCTTTTTAAGAAAATCTTTTACTGTATTTCATTTCAAGTCTTTCTTTCCATGACTTCCTTGCCTCCACTGCGTCTCTTTAATTGAATTACAATTATTCACATGCCCTAATGCCATTCCTTACGCGGTCATTGTGCGGCTGCCAGTTCGGCTGCCCATCGCCTTACTATGAAATACCATCAGATACGCTTGACAATGAGCATTATAATGCAGGCGGCCACACCAATGCCTCAACTGCAAATACCACAATAAAGTCGACAGATGCACACAACAGCATACCCCGGATCATTAAGAAGGACGTTTACTTAACTGAACCCACAGCTGCGGCAATAACAAATTGCATGATTATAATTAAGCATAATTAATCTCATGGCAGGCAGAGCGTATACGCATTGCTGTCCCGTAAGCTGCACCAATGTGTAAGAATTGACCATATAGAGTTGACTAGTGCAGGTAGAAACAGTTGCACCAAGTGAAGACTAAAACGTGGAATGTTAATGCTCAAAGTCGATATGAAAAACATCAACAAACAATGAAAAACAAAATATCAAATCCTTCTAAGCCAGCAATAATTTCCATTAATTGTTGCCAAATGTAATTTGAGTTTGAAAACCCGAATAGAAGTCGGACTATTTTAAAATGAAAGCAAGCAATTGAGAATCGCATTTTGTATAAAATTATGTCCCAATAGCCTTAACATTAAGCAACCATTAAGATTGTAATAGTCCAAGCCAATTGTATCAGACTCAAAATAAACGTCAATCAGGTAAGGGCACATATGACTGAGTTCCATTGTTTGTGTGTATGCAATTTAATCAAATGATTGAATGTATTGAAGTTAATGAGCTACTTAACCGACATTGCCACAAGCCATGCATCAGGTGCGTTTATATTCGCATAAATGTAATGAATGCATTCACAACCGACCTTGTATATATATATGTATATGTATATATATATGTATATGTGCATATTATAGATATACATGTTGGCACAGCTTACATAATTAGGTTGAGTGCAACATGTTGGCCACCGATGGCATAATTAAGGTACACCTGAGTTCCTCGGTTTTGAGGTAAGCCCAAAGCTAGTGCGCACTTCGCGCATTGAAGAGGCACGTATTATAGTCGGATACATTTTGTAAATTATATGGTAACATGTTATTTAACTTGGGAAAAAAAATAATTATCGCAAAACATTTCTCGAATTCTTAAATCCACAAATCTAAACAATTTGTCATGCTTAAGAAATTCTGATTTAAATCCTTTAAAATGCCAAACACAAAATGTATCAATCAAAACTGTTAGCCAAGCACAATAAAAATCCTTTGGCTTTAATATATCTGCCTGGCTGTGGGTGCAAATGTGTGTGTGTGTGTGTGTGTTGTGGTTATGTGCGCTGTGGTGGTGCCGTAAACCCGCTAACACTCCGTGTTGTCAACTTGCCGACATTAAGGCGCGTGAATCTTTTTTTTATTGTTATGCTGCCGTGTCGGGGGCATGAGCCATGAGTGGGTGGTATGGGGGGAGGGGGTTGTGTTGTAAAGCCGCATGTATGACAGCATGTGCGGCATACAATTACAAGAGCCGAGCCCCGAAAGGCTGGCAACATTTGTTAGCCCAAAAACAAAATGGCTGCACGACCATTTCCGCTGATTTCCAGTTGAACTCCTTTGCTTCCTCTGCAGCCTTCTGCTTGGCGCCTGGCGTGGATTATTATATACGCATTTCTCATGCTCACAGCTTTAAACATGTTTCCATTGAAATATTTATTTCAAAAACAAAAATGCCAACACCCACACAAATAGCACCGCGTAAGGACTCTGATGTATTTTTTATGTCTTTGCTTCGCTTTTTTATTGCCTTTAAATTGCGCTCGTTACGTTTTGTTTTATTTTGAGGTGGCAGCCACGTCTTAGCGGCACCACCCTCAAAATACTTGTAAGAAGACAAAGAGAATAAAAGAATGTGGATTATTTCATATCATTTATAGGCCTCAACATGAACATGAAATCTGACTTTAACTCACATTTCATCAAGCGAATATTTTAAATTCATTTTACCTACCTTTTGCGAGCGTCAAATTCATTTCAATTCTTACGCTGCAGTATAATAACATATGCTTTAAATATGTTATTGATATATACATCACTTGAATTTAGACCCTATTCGCATACAAACGCTTTGCATATGTGTGTCATATATAGAAGCATATAAATTCGATTCTATATAGCACATTTTCATATGTTTTAAATCTAAATTATCCTAAAATACAAGTTTAAATAAATTTTAATAGAATGATCGTTAAAACGATTACTTTTAAATAAATATGCCAATGAGTTCATTACAATAGTAAAGTTCTGGCAACTGTTTTTTGTCTAACACAACATTTATAACACAATTTTCTGTCGTTAAGCTAAGGTAAAAAATTGGGCAGTTTTTGTTAAACATTTTAAGTAGGCCTGGAAAAGGAAAAGTCCAAATTATATTTACGTATTATCGAAACCAAAAAAAAGAAAACTTCTTACACACACTGAGGCACAAAGACAGCACACAGTAAAAAAATAAATAAACAACAATTATCATATCTTGCAGAGAAAGCTAGGTAATAGACAAGACGCCAAGATGAATCGCATAGATACTACCATGGATGACATGGCCAATACAAAATTTCTGACGCTCTACAGTAGTTTGATCAAACAGTTTTCGGCCTCCACGGAGTTTACCCACACTGAAGTTGTCTGCCTTCTTATTATCTACTACAAATTCGTGCAGATCAATGGGCCGACTGCCAAGCAGATGAAAAAGAAGCAAATGTACAATCTATTCCTGGTGCTCTTTCGCATCTACGACATGACCCTTATAGAACGTATATTGCTAAATATCACCGCCGATGTTATCTACATCGGCCCGGAGGCCTGGATGAAGTTATTCTCAGTGTTCCTGAGCAAAAACTTGGAGACACGCATGCAGTTTGCATATAAGGTATGTAGATATTATGAGGAAAGCACAAACAACACTTATGAGCACCGAATTCCAGGTGTACACAACATCTTCCTCTGGCGTTCTAAATCGCGAAACTGTTGGCATGGCCATCAACAATTTCTTTGTAGGTGAAGATGACGATGAGGTCAAAGAGTTGCAGGCGGTAAGTAAAGAACAACTACAAATACATTTTTGTTGGGAAATTTCTAGTGTGCCTAAGATGCACATAAAGAAAACACACGTAGTGGTTCGGTTAAATGTTTAATGGAAACTTCAAAGCATGAGTACAAAAATCTGAACAAGTACTCAATTACAGAATGAGTACTGTGCTGATACAATGTTGCCAGATTATAAAGAAGCTTAACAGCTTATTGTCACTATTTTAACACTTCTTCTTAAGCTAATTATAATCAGTTGCAAAATAACAAATTTAATTCAATCCAAGTGTTTTTACAAAGCCTACGTGCTTTTGCTTACTTAAACATTTTGTTAGTATATCTGCAACATTATTATTTGTAGGTACGTATTCTAATGCAATATCATTACATTGTACCTTTTCACGTATAAAATGATACCTTATGTCTATGTGCTTAGTGCGCTTATGATGGACTGGATTTTGCGCAATATGTTGCGCGCTTAGGTTGTCGCCACATATAGTCAACGGCTCTGTATCCTTTGACCATCCCATCTCACTAAGTAGCCTGCGTAGATAAACTGCTTCTTTGGCAGCCATGGACAAAGAAATATATTCTGCTTCAGTGCTGCTCAATGCGACAACGCTTTGCTTTGATGAAGTCCAAGAGAACGCACTGCCTGCCAGGAAAAATGCGTAGCCACTATAGGATCTCCTGTCCAGCCGATCGTTGCCCCAATCTGCATCTGCATAGCCTTTTAGTGGTTTGCCATTTTTACGGTATACTAATTTCATATTCTTTGTACCCGCAAGATATCTTAGAATGTGCTTTGCTGCAGACTGGTGTTCTCCATGAGGATTAGCATTTCTTTGTGATAATTTGTTTACAGCATGCAAAATGTCTGGTCGGCTCAAAACTGCTAAGTATATAAGCGAACCAATTAATGACTGATATTGCGTTATATTTACCTTTACACAAGTATCGTCGTTGCAGTCCACTTGAAAACCTGGGTCAAGAGGTGTGCTTACTGGACGGCAATTGCTCATGCCATACTTGTCCAATAGGCCTTGAATGTGCGTCTTCTGGCACAGCGAAACGGAACCTCGATCGCCGTCGCGTTGGATTTCCATGCCTAGGAAATAGCTAATGGGGCCTCCATCGTGCATTTTAAAATTTGATGCAATCTTCTTCTTAATCACGGCTATGTCTTCTTCGCTGGGACACACTATGATTAAATCGTCGACGTAGACAGCGATGTAGCTGAATTGTTGTTGCTTTTGCTTGACGTATAAGCATGCTTCATTTTTGCATCTTTTAAAATCCATGCCTCTCAATACCTCATCGAGCGTATTGTTCCAAACTCGTCCGGATTGTTTAAGCCCGTAAAGTGCCTTTTCTAGTTTGAGGACTTTATTTGGATGCTGCTTGTCAATAAAATTCGGCGGCTGTTTCATGTACACAGTTTCATTAAGCTTACTATTTAAGTATGCGTTTGAAATGTCGACTTGATGCATATACAGCTCTTTTTCGGCAGCTATTGCGAATAACATGCGAATGGTTTCATATCGAATTACGGGAGAAAACGTTTCCCAGTAATTGACACCAAATTGTTGACCACAACCTTGTGCAACTAGTCGAGACTTAAATTTTTCAATATTACCATCTTTATCTCTCTTGATTCGGTAAACCCATTTTGAACCAATGGCCTTTTGTCCAGGAGGTAGCTCACACACTGACCATGTCTCATTTGCTTGTAAAGCGTCGTACTCTATTTGCATAGACTTTTCCCAATCCTGCGCATTTTGGCCATGTAATGCTTCTGCAACTGACTGCGGAGTTTCAATGTCTTCAATCTGATTAAGACTATTGATCAATTGGTACTGCTTTCTGGGCCTGCCTGGCTGACCTGTACGTATAATTTTTGGCCTGCCACGCCCATGTTTTACTACAGCTTCAACTTGTGGCAGCGCTACTTGGTCATTGTCGTCATCGTTGCCATCTTCTCCTGGATCGCTTGCGCTCACAAAATCCTCCTCTTCTTCTTCATTTGAGTCACTGTTGTACTCTTGCACCTCGGCAGGTTGCTCTGGGTGGTTTTTTGCAACCTCATGATTTGACTCAAACGGGATAATGTACGTCGTGAAGGTGTTTCTGTCTGAAATACTGCATGCATCAGTTGTTGCTATGTCAAACTCACCTTCAATGAATTTGACATCCCTTCTTTCAATAACTGTTCGCTTCTCGCGATCATATAGGCGATATGCCTTTGCTGTAAAGGAGTAACCAACAAAAATGTACTCCTTGCCCTTTGCTTGGAACTTGCTTTTTCTGACTTTGTCGAGTGCAAATGCCCGCGAGCCAAATACTCTCAAGTGCTGTACTGATGGCTTGCGATCCTTCCATACCTCAAATGGTGTGCTTCCATCTAATGCTTTTGTGGGACATCTGTTGCGCAAATAAACTGCTGTTGCAACAGCCTCTGCCCACAAAAATTCTTCAAGCTTTGAATGAATTAGAAGACTTTTTGCCATTTCAACGATGGTCCGATTAGCACGTTCGGCCACACCATTTTGCTGCGGAGTGTAAGGAACTGTTAATTGCCTCTTTATACCGCACTCGATCAAAAATTCAGTGAATTGCTTATTCACATACTCTGTTCCATTGTCGCTGCGCACAGCCTTTATTTTATTTCCTGTTTGGCATTCTACAAAAGTTTTAAACATTTTAAACTTTTCAAAAACTTGGCTTTTTGAGTGCATAAGGTAAACAAATATCTTGCGTGAGTAGTCATCAATAAAAGTTACGAAATATCGATTGCCTGCAAGCGACTTAACATTCATCGGACCACATACGTCTGTATGTACTAAGTCCAGTACTTGCTTTGAGACACGATTCGCTTTCTGTGGGAATGGCAATGCACAAATTTTTGCTTTATTACATGTATCGCAATTTATTTCTAATTGTACATTTTCAACTTTCATACCACGCACCAGTTGCTTATCATTAAGCAATTTCAAATCCTTAAAATTCAGGTGGCCAAATCTATTGTGCCATTTTATGGAAGATGAATCAGAACTATTTAGCATATGAACCTGATCAAGACTATGTTTGTAAACATACAAACCATTTTCGTGTCTTGCCCTTATTATCTCGTTGCCTTCTTTGTCTTTTATCAGCGCAATTTTCCCTTCAAATATGGTAGAATTCTCAAACTTTGCTGCAGCACTTACTGATAAAAAATTCATGCTTAAGTCAGGGACATATAAAACATTTTGCAGCTTTAATTTTATTCTATTGCAGTGCAACTCAACACTGCCACTGCCGGGTGAATCGATAAACTTATTTGCGGCCAACATTATCGACGTCTTTTTATCAGCATACGTAAGGAACATGCTGCGGTCGCAGCACATGTGCGATGTTGCACCACTGTCAACGCACCAAAAACTCTTTTGCTTCTCCTTGACACACGTGTGCATTAAGCATAGAGACTTTTCGTCCTTTTGGCTCTTTTTATCATCCTTCTTTTTATTTCGGCAATCGCTCGCTCGATGCCCTTCTTTTTCGCAATTAAAACATTTGCCTCGGAATGGCTGCTTACTGCTATTCTTTCTGCCTTTGCTTTCGACACTGTTGTTGTCCCGCGGTCCATTATGTTTGTGTGTATACACTGCTTCTGGTGTCCCTATGCCGTCTCTGCTAGCTCTTTCTTGCTTTCGCGTGGCCTCTTCTAACATTTTAACCTTGACGACTTCGAATTTGGGCAGCTCATCGCGTGTCTCAATCGCTATTACAAAATTTTCCCATGTGTCTGGTAGACTGCTCAAAAACATGATGACCTGCAACTCGTCATTGAGTTTGATGTCTAATTCTGCCAACTTTTCAATTGTCTCAACAAATGAATTGACATATGCGACTACATCGTCACCCTGCTGCATATTGAAACGTATTAATTTTTGATATAATTGGACCTTCCTAATCGGTCCAACTGAGACATGAATTTCCTTTAGTTTTTTCCATACAGCTGCAGATGTTGGGCATGACTTGATATGCATCAACTGTGTTGGCTTCAGATTTAAAATTATGTAAGCCATCGCTTTTTGGTCGACACTAACCCATTTTTCGATATCCTCACCATTTCCTTCTGGCTTAACATATTTTCCACACACAACATTCCATAGGTCCGCCACCACCAAGACACTTTTCATGGCCATATGCCATACGTCATAATTGTCCTCACCAAGTTTTTCTATTTGATGCGACATGTTCATTTTGACAATTTCACCACGTTATTCTTCGCACGAAATAAACTTTTTAAAAATTTAACAAAAGGAAGCTTTCAAAACCATAGACACTTTGTGTACTTATTTAACCGAAAACAACGAGACCTGGGCCCATAACCAATGTTGGGAAATTTCTAGTGTGCCTAAGATGCACATAAAGAAAACACACGTAGTGGTTCGGTTAAATGTTTAATGGAAACTTCAAAGCATGAGTACAAAAATCTGAACAAGTACTCAATTACAGAATGAGTACTGTGCTGATACAATGTTGCCAGATTATAAAGAAGCTTAACAGCTTATTGTCACTATTTTAACAATTTTACTATATAAGCACATTTTCTCTCAGGATATGACCGAGTTTATATTCAATAAATTTGATTTGGACAAGGATGGCGTCATCTCATATGAGGAATATTATGAGATTGTAAGTAATCAGCCGGTACTGTTGGAATTTCTGGGACAGATATTTCCCGATTTATCCGACCTTACCACAATTGCATATTGCACAAATATTGCAACGCTCTTTCCTGGCGAAGATTAACTTTGATTGATTTTGTCTTACAATTTTAATGCATTTTCATTTATATATAGTAGGTATTAAGCATTATTCTCATTATTTTTTTATTATTAATCTTTCATTATCATTATTATTAATTTTGATTGCAGCATATGTGTGGGCTTTTTGGATTTAAAACATAGCCAAAGTTAGGATGGAATTTCGCTGAGCTCTAAAAACTCATGTAGATTTGTTGAAATAACCGAAACTTAAACTTCTCTAAATGGGATTGGGTATAATATATAAATCAGGCAATGTTGTCCGCTGAATAATGATTAACCATTTTGATTTTCGAATACTGTATAAATTAATAATGAAATATTGTCCAATAAAGTAACAAGCGAACATTGAATGACATAAATATCCATTAAAAACTTAGATCCTTATGTGGGGAAGAAAGAACTCATACGCATGTGTAATTTTGGTATTTTGGCACTGCACTAACAAGCGAACAAGTCGCCGGTTGAAATCCAGCAAAAATGATCAGTTTTGAAATTTATTAACTAAGGAAAAGAAGTGTAAAGTTTAACCAGGCGATGTGAAATTCAAATACTTCTAAGCAATTTTCAAATATGTATATATGTATGTATGTATATGTATGCCTTAATATTATAATAACCGACTATTGGTGCCCCTTCTTTTCTACTAATTAGAGAACCGCAAGGCAACATATGCACAGTCCATTCTTAATGCACTACACAAAAGACACAAGTGTTTGAAATGAGCTCGCTAGAAAATGTATATTGTAGAACAACGAAAAGTACTTTTCCATGAGGTATACATAAGAAAAGTTAAAATTGCCTTTCGCGCTGTTGTCTTAAGCTTTGTTTTCGTTCAAATATCTGGCTGTGTGTGTAATTGTTTTTGTGTATCCTTGTTGCCGCCTTCATGTTCAACTCCTTTTCTAAATGCCATAATGGCGCTGTGGGCTTATTTCTTTGTCTGTGTTTATCTGTCGGCGGCGCTAAGGCAGAGGCAGCACTTGCTTTGCGGGTTTATAAAGCAATTAAACATGGCAACATATGTGGGCGCCCTGCCTAATAAAAAACATACCCCAAAAACTTACTGCAACCAATACGAACATTTTTAATTAAACTGTTTAAATGAAACGCAATCAGCCAAAGGCAAATCTTTTTATATATATACACATATCTGTTATTCAATTACAGAAATTGTTGATAAACCAGCATTTGATACCAAATCAAAAAAATTAACAATAATTACAATATAAAATAAAAGAAACATAATTTAGTAATAATAATTGATGTAACGTGTTGATGGAACATTTGTGATAATTCAATATACACTATCCACGTAGTGGAGGGGTGAAGGCAATACACATTTTTATTTGTAGACTGCTAAACAGCTAACAGCTTTCCCGTCGGCTTTGCTAGATGCCCGCGTGTGACTTGGCGTATACGTAATTTGGTTTGTGCTCAACGGTGCGTATGAGTAACAAATATGTTAAAACAAGCAAAAGTTGCGCTCATGCAATTAAATGCAATTTTCGCTCCTCGCACAACTTCACATTTTAAAGCGACGGTCAAACAGGGCACAATCAAAAAAATGGAACAGCAGCGGAGTTTCACAGTCAACAGCATGCCTCATTAGAGCTAAAGTCAAAATGGAGGAGGAGGCAAAAAAAAAAGACTGTCGGGTGTAGTCCTTGTTGCTGGCTCGTAAAAGAGACCAGAGAAAAGGGCTCAAGGGAAAACATGAAATGCGCCCTCTGGCAGGCGACGAACGAGACGTGCGGCTGCCTGTAAATCTTGACGTGATGAATGCGAGCCCACGAGTACGAGGACCACTGACCAGAGCTGCTTCAGCTTCAGTTCATCACGAGTTTGGCACTTGCCGTCAAGGGTCGATGTTGTTGCTGTTGCCCCTTCTGCATTAACACGCCGCCTCCTGTTGCATTCCATCTGAAAAAGTCGCGGCGCCTCTGCTGTGTGGTCGCGTGTTTCTGCAGTTTCATCAACAGTTTTTTCGGTTTTATGCCTTGCTAGTGTATGGTGTGTGAGAAGGTTTTAATAAAAAAAAAGTAAACAATTTTTCCCCCATTTGTATTCTTTACACACACACACACGTAGCAGGCTGTTCATTTTTCATGACCAACTTTTGGCTGGGAATTTATTTTTTCCGCTGTATTTTATCATTTTATGAAGTAGCATAGTGCGTTAATAAATATAAATGGCAAGTCTAAGGAAGTGCATAAAGCCAAGAAACAAAAGTATTTGGCTGCATACGAAATTATAAAGCTCAAGCTATTGTAGGCACTGAGATCGAGCTAGTAGAACAGATGGCAAATGGATTATATATGTTGTACAAGAACTTTAAATCAATTAGTTTACTTTGCGGTCTATGCAAATTATTTATAGCAAACTATTGTAATTGTTGTCTGAATTATATTGTATATTTTGTTTTCAGTTTTCTGTGGAAACGGAAAATATGCTTAAGCATGGAATTCATAACATAAAAATAAAAACAAATTGCCTTTTTAGAATTCAAAAGTGCTTTGTTGAAGACGCCTAATGCATTGATGCCTGTAGGAAATCAGGGCATGAAAATACGTTTTACATGCAAGGGGGTAGAGCATTACTTCTAACGATGATAATAATAATCAGATTGCCATAACGTCATCTTCCACGAATACAGCGAATACACAAGGAGAGAAAGAGCAAAATGGTGTAGCAGACGGGGTAAGGCAAGGTAAGCGACCTGGAACCAGTTTGATTGTCACATTGTCATCATCTGCATATTAAGTACAAGTGATTACACTTTCACGTGTGCCCCGCATGCGAGTCGACGATACATAGAGTTAGATACATTCACGACAGCGACCTGATGGGGGTGGGCACAAATGTCCTTTGGGGGGGCGGCTGTCGTTGTCGTGATGTGTGCAGCATTGAAATTTCGGCATTTAAATCTAACCAAGCAAAAGAAAGAGAAAAATTGAAACGTGGCACAAGCGGCAAAGCAACACAAAGGCAAATGCCAGCAAGTATCTGTAAGATACATATGCATACATATGTAAGTATCTTTTGTTAACGAGCGAGCAGCCAGGCGCTGTGCGGGCAAATGTAAATGCTTTGAAATCAAATCAATGCGTTTGATAAGAGAAACATCAGGGTTCTCACTGGCAGTTAGGTCTACAACAATAGCTGTATCTGTTAGGGTTCAGCGGGAAAGCGGAATTCATTTGTGGCACGTGAAGTCTTTTGCTTTTACGCTATTTTTTTTATTTTTATTTGCAAGCATGTGACTAAAAGTTGTTCAGCTTCAAATGATGCAAATACCAATTGAATGTTGCAGACATTGACTATGAAGTGAAAAAAAATCGATAGATAAAGTAAAGCAATTATCTTTTAGATACACTTTTGCTAGTTTAAAGATACTCTGCAACTACGGATACTTACTCTTTATAGTTGGGAAACGCTCAAACATCAAACAGCAAATCAAACTGTCTAGGATATATGCACATGCAAAAAGAAATTACCCGGTGTCCAACTTTAGGAAGACTCAAGGCAACTCCACTTTCCACCTTGTCGGGTCTCGAACCCGTTACTTGGAGTAAGTGTGCCGATAAAATAAATATTTCGTACATTTTGTGGGAATGTTTATAAATTCTTTGGGTCTTATATGTTAACAAGAGCACGAGCAGAGTTATTTATAACTATTATTATATTATATATTGCCTTAAAGTTTTAAGGTAGAAACATGGCAATTAAAAAAAAAAATCTAATTAAAATACAGCTATAAGGAGAATCAATTATCTGCAACAGCACCCAACAACAACTGCAATTAATTTACTGTTAAATAAAAATTGTGTGCAGCATACACTTCGAGCAATTAGCTGACCATTTATAGTCAAGTTTTATAAAACGCTTCATTTGGGAGAAGCGTCCTTATGCAAACGTGTGGTAAACGCTCAGCAATTGGCCTAAGCTAATCAAAACTGTGGCACAGTTGCTGCAACAACAACAACAACAGCAAAAAAAGAAGAGCAGCATCAGACCACACACTGGTCGACACACATTCGTAATGCTAACAACGTCTCTGAAAGCGTCTACTTGCCAGGATTTCATTTCGATAGCATCGACATTAAACTGCAAATCCGCAGCAGCAATTGCTGCATGTAATGCTGATGTTGGCATTTTACGGCTACTTCGAATGCTGCTGCTGCTGCTGCTGTTGTTGCTGCTGTCATGGGCTCATGTTTTGCCACTGCAGCGACACCTTATGTGGCAACAAGCAGTGGCACCTCCCTTAAGCCGCCTGCCTCCATCCATTGCTAGCCTGCACTTGGATGCGGTGCATCAGCTGCCCCTTGCCTGCTGCGATCGGTTCCTGTTGCTGTTGTTGTGTTGTGTATATTTTTGCATTGTCGCCATCGTCAGCAACAGCAACAGCAGCAGCATAAATGGCAACCATAAAATCCTTTGCAATCAGTTGCATACAACAAACACTTCTGCTGCAGCTTCCCCTTAACCACAGGCCCGAGTGTGTGTGTGTGCAGCACACCACACACAAGCAATCCAAATCCGTTGCTGTTGTCATGTTGCCTCTGCTGCTGTTGCTGTTGCTACTGCTGCTGCTGCAACTGCAGCGACTTATGCCAGTGCAATGGGGCAACATCCTAAGTATATTTTACTATCTCTGTATCCGTCTGTTCTCTGTATATCGGTATATGCTTCTGTTTTATACTCATCCTGATTGCCCTTATACCACGAGCATTGCAACACTCCAATCTTGTCTGTGCTGCTGCTTCTGCTGCGTACACAAAACAATTTCCCAACACTCGCAATTGGCTTTGGTGCAATTTACAGCTACCTCGTGCTTAAAAATAATTTCAAATATTCAAGTCTTTTGCAGCAGTTGCGTTAATGCAGCGGGAGGGAAAGAGAGGAAGAGCAAGAGAGACAGATAGAGCAAACATTGGGATAGCTTGCGTTCTGCCAACACTCGTTAATAGGCATCAAAAATTTATTTTTAGTTTTCAAAATGGAAACGAATCTAAATATACTTAATTTTTTCTGACTACAAAAGTTACTGAATTAATTAAATGGAATACTTTTTAGAAGCAAATAGTATGTAATTAAAATAAATTAAATAAATAAATTAAATAAAATACTAATATATATAATTTTTTCCAAAAACAATAAAGTAAAAGACCCATATTTGGCCCCGCAATTCAGAAACCCGCAATCCGCAAATCCGCAAATTTCAATAACAAATGTTTTGTTCCGTTTTAAACTTATTGTTAAAAAATAAAAGAAAAACGTTTCCGTTAGTTTGAAATTTTTCTAGTATATTGGCGAATTGAAAACAAAGTCGACTTTCTAAACTTAAGCAACAATACTTAAATAAGCGATGC